TGCTTTAGAAGCAAATGCTGACGGGTCATGTGGAGAGAGCCCAGGATGGGAGACAGAGAGACCTGGCATGTAGTCATAGCCCGGTGCCACCTCGCCACCTGAGCGTGGAGCCTTACGCTTCCATCGGAAAAAAGTAGGACAGCCGAAATTAAGGCTTCCCAATCTGTTCTGGGAGTCTACTGTTCTACATTTCTTTTTAAAATTCCTTGGAAGCTAAGGAGACACGAATTGCTGAGCACAAAAGCAGGGATAGTCAAGAACAGCATGTGCTGAGCAGGTGCGGGGATGGGTAACTGGCGGGTTCTGATTAGCCCCGCCAGTCGTCTCTGTGGATGCACAAGGGCAGGGACTGAATCACGCATCTCTGTACCACCGCACAGTGCCTGACACATAGGAGATGCTCAATAAAGACCTATGGGGTGAACAAACACATTCACCTGGCAATTTTGGGGGGCAAGTGGTGGAAAAGTGGGAAAGTTTGGGGGTGACCAGGAACCGACCCTTTAGAGCCCTGATGTGTGATGCATGCTGAAACGGCATCTCGGAATCCAGTCACTGCCTTTGGCTTTCCCTTTGCTTCACCAGGGCTGGAGCGGAGGCTGAGGCCTCTCTGCCCATGTGGCCGAATCATTATTTGAAATAATTTATACCCCCTTCCCGCAGTGCATTTTCCCCTTTCCCTTCCTTATACAAGGTCTTAGCCCGAAGTTGAATTTCCATTAATTGGGTGACAGAGGGGCTCAGAGTCAAAATTAGGATAATAAAAGAAAATAAAGAAATGCACTAAGGGGTTCGTGGGCTGAAACTCACATCTCTCATACTTGTCAGGGTATGTAGATTTCTTTGACTCCACAAATAAATCGAATCCCCTTAAAATCAGGAGCCGTGTCATTTAGGTTTATTATAATCTATAAATTTCCCCCACCAAGTCTCTTGTCCAGCAGCTGCTGGTGTCTGGGTGGAACCCTGAGGATTATGAAGCCAGGGGGTATCAAAAATTGTGGACTATGTTATGGATCAATAAAAACAGCAAAGTTTTCTCCAGATGCTTTTAATGCATCTCTTGCATAAAAATGAAAGGCAGCAATTTTCTGATCAAATGTTATGTTTTGTTTGGGTAGCTTTGGGGAAATTATGGAGATATAGGGAAGCTAAAATCCACACCCTCGCCACCAATCCTCCAGGCCAACCCTCAACATTACCAATCCCAAGAAAGTGAAGGACGACAGAGTCAAAACCTGCCTGCAACGGTCTGGGAACCTTCCCAAAGTTGGAGTAATTCCGACTAGTGGCCACTAGGTGTCAGGTCAGCTTCAAATTCCTGGTGAACACACTGCTTCCAGATCCTTACAGAACGCTTTGCAGCCTTTGTACTTTCTGTGATCTCCCAAACTTCTGCCCACCACCCCCCAAAAGCCCGACACATGAAATCTGAGCCCGGGAGTGTCCAGCAGCCTGACACTTGGGCAAACCTCTCCAACGCTCAATGTCCTCGTTGTGAATTGCGGTTTCTAACAGCGAACTTTGCACGCGTGCTGTGAGGCAGAAAATCAGGGGTGGGCGGGTAAAAGCTCCGTAAATATTCAGTCCCCTCCCCCAGTCAGTCCACCCTGGAGCCCGGCAAGACCACAAGAGGAGACAGTGTTTCATTTGGATAGGACTGCACGAGGAACTCATCCTCTATCAGCTTGCGCAGTCTGGAGGCTGGTGGGCGGGAGCTGCAAGCCCAAGGTGGAGGTAGGGGAATCTTGCAAAGTAGGAGAGGCCAGCGGGTCAAAATGACCCAGAGGCATTGGACTACGTGCCCTGCACTGAAGGAGGTCAGGCTGCAAGCGAGGGAATCAGCACCTGGCTGTGCCCCTCCTAACCTGCCCTAACGCGGTGAGCGTCATGTGGTAGCTTTTTGTTCCTGACAGAAACCCGGTGCAGGAAGACTTTATTATTCTATTTTACAGTTGGGGAAACCGAAGCATGGAGAAGTTAAGCATCTCACTCAAGCTTTCTTGCTAGTAAGTGGGGAGGCGGAGATTCAGGCCCTAACAATATAGCTCTGGCTCCCTGGGGTCTTAACCACTGTGCTTCCCTGCCCCCTGCGGCTTCTGTGCAGCAGCTCCACATCCAGACCGGGGAGTTTTTTTTAAAAGTAATTTTTTTTTTCAACGTTTATTTATTTTTGGGACAGAGAGAGACAGAGCATGAACGGGCGAGGGGCAGAGAGAGAGGGAGACACAGAATCAGAAACAGGCTCCAGGCTCTGAGCCATCAGCCCAGAGCCCGACGCGGGGCTCGAACTCACGGACCGCGAGATCGTGACCTGGCTGAAGTCGGACGCTTAACCGACTGCGCCACCCAGGCGCCCCAGACCGGGGAGTTTAAATGCACTTACTCTGTCTACACTGTGTCTACAACAGAGTGAGGAACAACTAGATTGATAAGCAAGCAGGAGCTGCAGGCCAGGAGGGAGGCAAAGGTGGAAGATACTGTTCTAGTGTGGCTGATTGCTGAAGGTCAGGTTGACAGGCCGTCCCCGCTCCCAGTATTGATCAGAAATTGTGCCAGGGGAGGTAGGATGGGAGGACAGAAGGAAGCACATGGAAAGCTCTGTGCACCCGCGTCATAAAGCAGTTAAGCATACGGGTTCTGGCACCGGACATTTTGAGGTTTGAATTGTGCCTGGCTTTCCCACTTAGCAGCTCTGTGACTTTGAGCCAGTCACTCAACCTTTCTGAATCTCAGTTTCCTCACCCGTCAATAGAAATGATAATGGTCTCCCCTCCGCCACAATTTAATGAGATTGTGCCGGTGAAACCCAAGGCCTAGCATACAATAAGTGCTTCCTATAAGGATGACCTCATCACAGTGGCTTTCCTTTCCGAGAGATGGGGGGAGGGGAGGCCTAGGTCCTGCAGGGCACAAGAGGGGCCACACCAAGCAGCCATCTTTGAAATATCTAAGTGCTGGGCCTTTGAAACATCATGGGAAGCATTCTCATCTCAGGGTTTGGTTTAAGGCTTGCATCAAATCAAAAGAATTCGTCCAGAATCTTAGGAATTAGAGGGAGGAGGGCGGACCAGGGACTAGCAGCGCCATGTGGACAACGCAGGGGACACGGTAAAGAGCTGGCATTTCTCTTGGCTGCTGAGGTCCGAACCCCTCTTCCTGGGCTGGGAATGCCTCACCTCCGGGGAGGGGTGGCTGTGACTTGCAGCCAGGACCTAGGATCACACCTCCACCAGACACTCAGAACGAGAATCCAGAGCTAGCATCCCCAAAAACCAAAGACCAATTCTCTCTAACAGCTGCAACACGGCAGCTGGATGCGCGGCCTCAGAGCGGTGGCGAGACTGATGCGGGAAACACAGGCAAATGAAAACTTAAATTCCCTTACGACCCACAGCCCATCAACAAGTCCTTGACATAGGCAGAGTAGAGTGACATTCGCCAGGAACTCTGCTGCCTCAATGCGATACTTTGCTAAAGACAAAAGGCAATCTTAGCCTACTTCCCAGAATCCTCTAAGTCTACTTTAACATATAAAAATTCCTTTAGAAACTTCCTTTATCTCTCCCCCCTCCCCCGCCAGATATATGTTAACCGTCATCCTCCAAGCATATGGCCCACTGACAGACATCTGAAGGGCCTCACTCATGACTGTTTACTAAACAGTAATAACTGACCTTTTCCTAACAGCAGCTAGCCCCCTCAAAGTCCTGGAAACCTTGCTTCCAAAATACCTTGGAGAATTACTCTATCCCTAACCTCCTCCCAACCTGAAGGAATATATTCAGTCACCCGTCACAACCCCAGCACAGTTCTTTCTGCTCACGGGTCCTGTCCCCGTGCTTTAATAAAACCACCTTTTTGCACCAAAGACGTCTCAAGAATTATTTCCTGGCCGTCAGCTCCAAACCCCGACATTTCCACATCAGTACTGGTGGGATGGGCCAGGATACAGAACCCGCGGCTCAGCGGGGTGAGCTGCAGGGTTGCTGTGTGGCCACAGTGGCAGCTGCAGTGTCCTCGAGGGACCAGGCTGCTTTGCCAAGCGGGGGCTCTGGATTGGTTTTGTTTTGATTTGTTTTAAGCAAAAGAAAACAATGATTGGCAAGGCAAGCCTGCGACCTAAATCCTGGCTGCGGACCAGTGGCCTTGAACTACAGGAAGGGAACAGTTCTCCTTCAGGAAGCAGACATCCTGGAGGGGGAGGGGGACCAGGAGGCTGGGAGGCCCACCTTGAGGCCCAGTGGTGCCTTTAAGGAGGGTCTATGGTGTGACCCTGGGAAGACTGCTTTTGCTGTCTGGCCACCACCTTAGGGAGTCTGTGGATCAGCTGGAGGAGGGCTGACCAGCTGGCTGCCATGGTGGCCAGGATGAGTAAGACAAAATTCCTGTGTGTGTGTGTGTGTGTGTGTGTACACACGCGTCGTAGTATAAATCAACATACCATGTTTTTCTCCCAGACTGCTACCAAGCCTTAAAAACCCTTGGGGGCCACCTGCATGGCTCAGTCTGTTAAGCGTCTGGCTCTTTTTTTTTTTTTTTTTTTT